AAGTAGAAGATCTTCCGACCATCTTGTCGGTGACGTGCGATCTCATGCAGGTACTTCTGCTGCCAGGCGACTATGTCCTCTCGTTCAATCAACCGGGAGTTTCGTTCCCTCTTGTCATGCTCGAATCCGATGTCGTGGAGAAGGCGACGCACAGTCCAAGCCTTCAACGAGGGAAGTTCAGTGCTCGCGCAGAATTCGGCCGTTATCTTCTTGACCGTGGGGACTTCGTTCCGTCGAAAGAAACGGTGGACGCACGATCTTAGCGCGCACAACGTGAACTTGCCGTACCTGACTTTGCGCCGCCTCTTGCCTTCACTTGCTGGGCGCTCCCGAGAAGGTGTCACAACTTGTCCCTCGGTTTCTTTCGCCTGCTTCCTAATCTCGAGGACGGTGCGTACACCAACGCCAAGCAGCTTGCTGACTTTGATGCAGGACTCCTCCACAGTGAGGCCGGGCTGGCCGGGCTTGGCGGGCGGTTCGTGTCGCACCTGAACGTACGCGTTCATTATCAGCTGCCGTGCAGCTCGGTTGAGGACATCGCCGCTCTTATGCTTCTTGTAGAGGCGCCTTGGCGTAGGCGGCGAGGCTGCACCAGACTCTCTTGACGAAGAAGAATCGGAGGAATCGCATTCCGCTGTCTCCACGTTGGGATTCATAACGGAAAACGGCGACTTCGGCATTGTTAAAACGCGAATCGCAGGAACTTTCAAAACCCGAAACGCAGGTTTTTTTTAACAAACGCAGAAAATACACGGAATGTACCTAATTCGAGTAGGAAGGTTATCAAGCTAAAACCAACAACCATATATGCATTACTTATAAAAGTTACAACTTTCGTTGCACTGAAGCCTTCTTTTTACGTCAACCTTCCGGAGCGAGTAATTTGCCTCGGCTAGGTGGCGCAAGCTGCCGCCCGCTACAAGGTCTGTCTGTAGTCAATATCCATCCATTGAAGTAGAAGGGGCGTTTTCAGCGAACTATCTTCTCGACTGCGGAGGCGTCTGAAGCGGGCGCATCACGCTTATGGGGAGGGGCTTCTACTACCTTCTTAACTTGTAACCGACTATAGTATGCGTCGTTTTTTCCGCCGCTTGGTGGCGGGTATGTCGATGGGTCATTTCTTGTTTCCGTACTTTATAAACTGCATTTGTTCCTTTTCTGATCTAAAATAGTGAACAAAACCTACTTTTATAAATATTTGAAATGGGTCGCGCCACTTATATTTTGTATTTCGACTAAAAGCAAGCTTTTAGCGGCTCTGACCAGTAGTAAGCCCAGGACCAAAGACGTCACATTTTGCGCGCTTTTGGTACTGCGTTTCGCCCCCGTCGGGGGAAAAGGTTTCCACTAGGGATGTCGCGAACCACCCTAGGTTCGATTTCGAAAGGTTTCGATATTTGCGAAGCGAACTGAGGTTCGATTTCGAAAAATTTCGATATTTTCGTACCGACCGAGGTTCGATTTCGAAAAATTCGCAACTTTTGACCACAGCGGAGTTTCGAATTCGAAAATTTCGAAGCTTTCACGGTTTCTAAAATTTCGATTTCGAATATTTCGAATATTTTTTACTTCAGGTTCGATAAATTCGAAGATTTCGAAATTCTTTGTAAAAAAAATTCGAAAACTTCGAACGCTTCGAATTTTTATAGACATGAAGTTCGAACAATTCGAATATTTCGAATTTCTTTTTACATAAAGTTCGAAAAGTTCGAAGGTGTCGATTCTCTTTTAACGCTAAATTAAAAAACAAACAAAAAAAAAAAAACTTCGATTTTGAATTTTTTTTAATCCAAGTTTTCAAAGTTCGAAGTCCGATTTTCAAGTTTTTCCACAGTTTTAGTTTCAAATAACGTTTTCACGACTCACTGGTTTTCACAAAATCAAGTTTAGAAAAGTTAGGGTGTGATATTTAGATTCTGCGAAGTTGGTCAGGCAATTAAATGAGAGGACGAGTGTCCCGGATGTGCTGGAATATTTGCCAGTGCAGGATTGTGACCGCCAGCCCCGGGGGGGGGGGGGGGGGGGGGTCTTTAACCTGCATCACGCGGTAGTGATTGCACGAACACACTGTTTTACGAGACTCATCCAGTTCGAAACGGCCAGGGGCGAGCAGGAGGTTGAGGCTCAGAAAAACCTTGAAGCGACCTGGCAAACTAGCTCGCCACCCCTTGCACGCTGGTAGTAATCCGATCCGGTGATGTTTATAATTGTCCTGGAGGTTTATTTTCTGGGACGGAGGAATCGCCTCGCAAAAAGCACAAAAGCCGACACAACTCGAGGTCGAGGAGCGTTCTACCATACAAGTGGCGTCGGAAGAGGAAAAACGGGGGGAAAGAGGGTAGCCGCTCTTTATAATTTCAGTTGCTTCCTTTCTTAAATCTACTCTTCCTAAGTACGTGCTGTGTCTACGTCGCAAACAAACTGCCCCGGTTTGTTTGGCGCTTGGCGCTCTGCGTTCGACGTCGTCCACCTGGACTTCGCTGCAAAGATCCGTTAAAATGGCCTGCCGTCGTGTGCCTTGATGCAACTCGGATTAAAACAACAACAACAACAACAACAACGAAAACTGTAGGGCTGTCTTTTCATGGAAGTCCGACACTGATTTGAGAGAAACGTGGCTTGCTGCCATCCGACGAAAACTGGACACCGAATGCGACGTCTTGCTACACTAGGTGTGCCACGAGTATACCAAAACGCATGCCGTCTGGTCCTTCCAAAAGTGCGGAACGTTTAGATATCAAATAAGCCAATCAGAGCGCCAGAATTTTCTCATGGCCACATGCTCTTCCCAATGTGCGGGTGGTACGGCGCTAGCGCAGCACCCGCATATTCGGAACAACTAGAACGGATCCATGAATGCAAGACATCGATCCATCTATCCATTCAAACGACCGTTTTAGTGGCGCGTGTAGCGGCAAAATGTGGCGCTTGCGGCGGCGGCTCATTGTTTTCCAACTCTTTTGCCAGGCACTGAAAGTAGGGTGTAAGTGCTGACTGGACGCTACCGGACGTCACGACAGAGGGACAACAGATTTGCGAGCGTGTTCAGCCGAGCAGCCAACCAAAAATAGTGGTAACGGAGGCGCCACTGATCTCTGGGCGGGGCTTAGAACGGGCCGATTCAGAGTCTGAATGCCCAACGAGTCGAAATATCCAACGAGATGAAAGATCCATTATTGGATACACAGGCTCGTTGGATATTCAGACATGTTGGACATTCAAGCCCAGTTGGATCGTTCGTCTTGTTGAAGATTCAGACTCGGTGGACATTCAGTCTCAATTGGATATTCCGTCTCGATGGATGTCCCATCACAGTGCACATTCCGGCCCAGTTGGATCTTCCGTCTCGTTGGATATTCAGACTCGTTAGACATTCCGTCTCATTACTGGTAAGTGGATGGTTGTCTGCAGTCTAGGGTTTGAGCCCACTCAGGAGGTGTACCATTGTTATATCGAACCAAGAACAAGAGTGAACCTTTCTAACCTGGCAAGTGATTTGAGGTCACTACAATACAAAATAACGTTGGTACAAAACCGGAAAAGGGGTGACATGGGCGCGTATGCGTATAAGAAAGCTTCGAAGACCTCTTTGTTGTGCGCCTACTTTTTGTTTTCGGAGCGATCAGTCGCTTTTGTTTTCTAGACTCCGTGGTTCACAATGCTTCGCTGCATTGAAGACTCGTTTCTCGCATCCTTTTGGTTTCTGTCTGCAACGGGTTGTCTTTTCTGTTTTTTTTTTCTTATTAAAATACTTTCTGGGGTGTATATGACTGCTATGCTTCAGTGTTGACTTTGGTTCTTTTTGTTATTTTTAATCTTTATTGTTTATTTAGTTTGAGCCTGCGGCGCCTATATCAAGCATTATCGCCAGAGGGCGAACAGACATAAAAAACCTTTCCGCATTTGCGGCACAAACATAACATTCCCTTCCTTTATAATCTAAAAAAAAAACAAAACAAAAAACTCTTCTTATTTTGCTTTGGCACAGAGATCACGCATCCTACGTGATCTTAACATTGTTAAATATAATTTGGAGCATTCCAGCAAGCCTTTTCACATAGGATACAAAAATGTGCACTGAAAAAAAGAAGGTCCTGGCTTATCATTATTTGTTTGGGAGCAGTATGCTCGAGCGATAAATCACATGAATTAAATAAACATAACACATTGGATGTCCAGCCTCAGTGGACATTCAGACCTGGCTGGATCTTCCATCTCGATGGACACTCAGTCACGGTGGACATTCAGGCCTGGTTGGATCTTCCGTCTCGTTAGACATTCCGTCTCAATTGGACATTTTGTTTCGATGGATATTTCATCTCGCCTGTCACGTGACCGACTGGATCTTTCGACCAGTTGGATCTTCCGTCTCGATGGATATTCAGGCCGCAAGCCGAACTGGCCGGGACCTCCACCTAAATTGGGTCTAAAAACGTGCGCAAAAAAACAACAACAACAAACAAACAAAAAAACACTCCCTTTTAGTTAAAACAAAAGAAAAAAAATATCGTATTTAGGCCCTGAACTCAAAAACTTTTTGAACGCAAGCAAGAGCTCTTGTGAGGCTTGGGCTTTGGTGACCTTTTGTGTTTGTCGTCGTCGTATTCTTCCATTGGCTGCAGCCAATGGAAGAATGCGTTGTCTTCTTGGTTGTCTTGTTGGTTCTAATACATAATGGCGTTTTATGCCAAAAAACAACAAACAAAAAAGGAACAAAAACTGAGAAGGAACACAGGACAACGCGTACTTTCAACTAAAATTTTGCTAGACAACATATGCCGTGTAATGAAGTGTTATTTGAAAGTACGTCTTGTCCTGTGTTTTCTTCACTTTTTTTCGTGTGTTTTTCGGCCTAAAACCTTATAATATGTCTACGTATATAAATACCGTATACCAAATATTCCCTTTGCCATTGTGTACTTTATTTCGAACGCCTATAACAAACCCAAAGCAATGACTGACGGCGTAGTTAATTAGTAATTTCACAATGCACATGCAAGGGAATAATCTAGACACGTTTATTCGCGCGCAGCTTTTATACAATCGCAACAATAAAAATGATTCCCATGAAGGCGAACATAGTAAATATGGAACCTAGAGTCCTAGATAAACGCTGTGTCAGCAAGAACGCTCTAACTTTGGTCTATGAAGGCTATCGTCTACGGAAGCTACCTGTGTTCGAATTTAACGTGGATTCCTTTTTCCGGATTAATTATCACAGAGGGAACGACCATTTTCAACGGGTCCTGAGTTTCCTCGCATTGCCTGATCCTGTACTTGCGAATCAATTTGCACAGTGCCATCTTAATTTCGAGCAAAGCAAACCTCTTTCCGATGCACACCCGGGGCCCTAACCCAAAGGGCAAGTACGCTGCAGAATGACTGCCATTCAGTCCTTCGGCGAATCGCTCTGGATCAAACTTGAAAGGCTCTGGCCAGAGGTCAGGGTCATGGTGGATGTACCATGTAGGGACTATGATATTGACTCCAGCAGGGAAGAACTGTCCCATGATAGTCGTGTCCTCTTGGCAAGTTCTGCTGATGAAGAGGATGACGGGTGGGTAGAGCCGCATACTTTCGCAGATAACCATGTCGAGACGCTTGAGCTGTTGGACGCCGTCGTATGTCAGTTCCTGGTCTTTTTCCGGGAATGTCTTGTTGAGTTCGTCCAAAATCCGGTCTTGTTCTTCAGGGTACTTGGCCAGCACGTGGATGATGAAGGCGAGCGACGTGGCCGTAGTTTCGAAGCCTGCGGCCAGAAAAATGAAGAGGTTGGCGACAAGATGGCGGTCTTCCATGAGTTTCTTTCGTTCGCCCGTGTTTTTTATGTTATCCTCAATGCCGGCCTGGGCGTCGAGCATCAACTGCAGCATGTCCGTTGTCCTGGGACTTTGTCCATTTCGGCGAAGTTCAATGACGTGACGGACGTTGTTGGACACTTGCTCCATCGTCTTGTGGTAGCTTGTAAAGGAGAACAAGTTGCTAATCACTTTGCGAAGAATAGGAAATCGAATGGCGTTTCGAACGGCGGCATTTTCTGCGTCTTCGAAGATCTTTCGTACACCAAGCAAGAGTGGGTCTTTGGGATTCTTCTGACAGTCCACCTGTGAGAAAAAAGAAAATCGCACATTCAGACGAGAGATCATTCTGTAGACTGTGTAATCTACCCTTTCAAGAGTGTGCATCATCTAGCAAATGCTGCAAAATTATCCCACTTCCCCTACACTCTAAGAAAAAAAAAAATAGAGGAAAAAGGTAGCAACGGCGCATTTTTTTCGCTTCTACTGACGCGCCCCCAAGCGGACACGAGAAGAAGGGAGTAACGAGACGTTTTTCTCCTTCTCCAGGCAAACGGGAGAAAGCTTCCGCCAGCCCGACTCATCTTCTTTCGGTTCCGTTTTTCAAGCACGTCGCGCAAGCTGTTTAATAAATCTTGTTGAGTTGATTGAGCTTCAGCGGCAACGAAGGCCGCCTGTAATTCCGTCTCCCAGTCCAAACGTGCAGAACATTTAGGTTGCATTGACGTTTTTACCACTAGTTTTATCAAACGAGCAAACGAAGCCACTAGAAACAGCGAAGTTCCGGAGCAGTGCCAGCAGCGCCACGTACACAGGGCTAAGATGGCCATCTCCGGATTATGGAATCCACGCGGACCCATGCGGATCAAGGGGAACGATATGTCCTCAGTGGATGTGTCGACGTTGACGGCGTGATGGAAATCGCAGAAACTGCGTCCAAGACAGGCAGGTTTTGCTGCCGGGTGCCTGGGTTCCTTTCTGTGTTGACTTCGGTTCTGTTTTCCGATGCCGAGTGCCAACCGGCAGTCAACGTGGTTCTGTATTTCTGCGTGTCAGCAACATAGCAGCAACATCGCGATGGCAGTGTTGTGCGTTGTGAACAGAAGACTGCAATTATCGCCAATGTGACCGTGTGTTCGCGTATCCGTGATGTAACAGCAAGATGAGATGACGTAAACTGTCGGGCATTGATGCCGCTGGTCGGGCCGTGGCCGGAGGGGGTGGGGTATCGCAGGTTGACATTCCGCTTTACATTAAATACTTTAAGACCGCTTGAGGGATTAAGTGCAATCGATCGACGTGCGGATATTCATGTTGCAACGCTGGTCTGAACCGTAGCTCCCATCGTACAGTGGCCAATGCGACCGTCGGTTGTCTCCTGTCCAAGTGTGATTGTGTTCTGGGGAAAGGACTGAACAGTATGAAAATATGTCGGAAAGTACGTATATTTACAATTTGGAATTTTAGCATTAAGGAAGGATAATAGGTAAAATCGACAAAGAGCAAAAACAACAAAAAACAATCCTTTATTTTGCTGTTTAAATATACTACGGTTCCTGGAGAAACTGCCCTCCAAGTGGCGCGCCGGTATGAGAGCTAGAAGTTTTCGAGCTCGCCACGGCGTAGCTTTGTGCATATAACACCTGCCGCAAGTCGCGGCTTTAACTGCAATTAAGTTGATCAAAAAGCGATTTCTCTGCCCGTGAAGCATCACTTCCAGCTGAGTGAATATCAGCTCTACAGAGATTAATCCAAGACGGCAATTGCAGCCGTGCGCGACCAGCACAAAAATAAGAACAAACACTACAATAGAAATACTGGCTACGACGTGTCGTGCGGGGAAGCAAACACATGGCTTGGGACCGCATTGGAGCGGCTTGATTTATTGGCTTTTAAATAATTACGGCATGATCGAGCGTTTACTTTTTACTAAGAGAATCATCCCCCGAGCCATTCAAAATGCTTTCAGAGGTATGGCGTTGCTGGGAAAAAATCAATATGCTGGGAATATTTTTTATTGCTTAGGCGGTCACCGAGAAATTCCGTACGTTCAAAACGACCAGTATAAAAGACAGAAACGCAGAGCTCGGAAGTAGTGATCGGGTTTAGTGTGCTGTTATATGTGTACGCGCTCAATATATGTTCAGCTGATGTGTCTACATGTGTGTATACGCTCCGTGCGGGAACTGTAGGGGGCGCTTTGAAAAACGCGCCCAGCGCCGCTAGCGGAGGAGCTGGCGTTCGACAGTGAGGCGCGTTCAGCAGCCTGCGGCGCGTTTTCGCATGCAAAGCTGTGGCGGCGGAAGCGCGCACGGACGAAACTTTTGCTTTTTGAGCCGATTCGTTGAGGGTGACGTTGCACGAGTGCTGGGGCAGACATAAAAAGGGCATCCAGCTGTTCTCCACTTCGTATATATTGAGTTTGAGTCGTTATTAGGGGCAATTTCTCTAGTTGCGGCCGAAAAAGGAGTTGGAGCAATTTTCCGAAAAGCAAGACGGCCGCCACCATAATTGCTCTTAGTGGGAAATTTATTTCGCTCGTAGCTGTAAACCTAGGACTGCTGGAACGATGATATTTGGAGGCGAGTGAGATGTTCACTAAGTTTGTGCACGAAGTGTGCCAAGTTTCATCAAGACAGCAGGTGGGAAATTTATGTTTCTAATGCATAAAGAAATAAAGCTCTACGGGATATTGAATATTGGACCAAAAATGATGTGTTATAGCGGGCTCTGCAAAGTGCACATTAGGGCACACAGGTGCTTGTACCCGACAGTAAAATGACGCAGCACTTATTATACCAAAAAGAGGTGGCATAGGGAAACCACGTGGAAACTTGGTTTGGGCGGAGTAACTCAATGGGAACCGGTTTTGACCATTAAAGGGCTGTCAAGAGAATACCACTGGTCGTTTACAGGTAGGGACTAGTGGACTGTACTTCCAATTGAAACAACTTTAGGAAAGGTGGTTCCGAAGCCGAGAAAACAAAGTTGTCGGCCGACACACGGTTTGGCCGGCTTTTGCGGTCAGCTCTTGTGTAATAACCTGTTGTGCGAGGTGCTGATTTTCGGCGCACAGGTACTTTGACATGACCGTAACTTGACACAACACTTAGTATACCAAAAAAGTTGGCAGAGCGACACCAGGAGGAAATTTAGTTTTGGCGGCGTAACTAAATGGGAACTGGTTTTGACCGTGAAAGGCTGTGAAGAGAATACCGCTCATCGAGGCAGGTGCACGCTTTACAGGTAGGAAGGGAACAGTGAACGGTACTTTCAGTTTGAACCACTTTGGGATAGGTGGCTCTAAAGCCGGAAAAAAAATTGTTTTCTACAGAACTCCGGGTGTCAGCGTTTCGACATCCAAAAGGAAGATGATCAAGAAAGAAAGCACATCACATAAACTTCCATACTCAAACGTCAATTTTCCAGTGATTCCGAGTTTCATTGTTGTTTTCTTTACATTCAGATTTGTCACTCTTTTTACCGTTCGAATCTTTCTTCATGAAGTACAGATTGCGTGCCATACTTGTCCGGAAATATCATCGACACGTACGATGGGGACGAAACTTCTCTGGAGGGAATTTTCCCCAACGAAATTGGCACTGCGCGCATACCCGCGAGTGAGGGATGGCATTTCAGTTCGTCCCATCGGCGCTAACACATGTAGGCGTTGCTGGTACGCAAACAAACGCAGAGCGCAAAGCGGCACTGTAGAATATGTCAGCCGTGCCGACACAGTGGCAGACATGATCGGGAGACCAAATTTCTCGCTTAGTACGGCACGGGTTCATCGTTGTCGCTGTCGCACAAAACATCGGCGAGGTGAAAGACTGTGAAACTGTCCCCACGAGATACGACGCTTAACTATTGAAGCACTTAATGACGCAGCACAGGCAGCACTTCATGCTGTGAACTCAGCGCAACCGCACTACTCCGACTTCAATGCGTACCAACGTACGCGGCATGGTTTCGGTTTCGTTTTCTCTGGGGTTCTCACTGCCTACCTTCGGTACCAGCCGCGCGGCGGCGCGTCAGTCGCGTCGCACGGAGCGTATAATAAAGGTTTCCGAACACTGATCTCAATGACCATTGCCGGATCGTGCTTCCCGCTCCCGCGAGTGAAGCCACCGGACGGCCATCTTGCTCGTAGACGATTTGCGGTTTTGCTAGCGTTACAGAGGCTGGCGGCAGCGTGCTGAAGACACGTTTCTATTCGTTCGTCGTCTTTCGTCGAAGATTTTTATTACTCTGTGGAAGGGCTCAGACTTGCCGTTGAGAAGACGTGGAAAGTTTTACGAACGTGCAGTACAGCAGGAAAAAGTCGCTACAAAAATAAAGATTTTGTGCTACTGACTTGATTGCCATAAACGTCTAGTAAAGAGGAAAAAAAAAGAAAAAAATCGCCGTTGATGTTGTTTCCTTTCCCCCTCTTCCGTCGCCACTGGACACTGAATCAAGCTCGTTTCTGGACCGCGAATGCCGCAAGTTACAAATAAAGTAGCCAGAGTAAAAGTAAAACGCTGCCTAGAGGTACACACGGCTTCACGCGCATTGCACTTGCAAAACAAATCTAACGGCGCCGAAACGAATCTTGATCGGTATCCAAGCGTGCGAAGGCACAGAGACGCAGCACCTCGGCGTGCCAAGGAAGCTTTGATCAGGACACGAGACCCGAGACACTTGCTTTCGACGAGTTGTGCCTTTACATACGGCTTCACGCACATTGCACTCGAAAAACAGATCCACACGGCGTCGATTCTTGATCGGTATCCAAGCGTGTGAAGGCACAGAGAAACAGCACTTCGGCGTGCCAAGGAAGCTTTGATCCCGCCGCGAGACCGGCGAAACTTGCCTTCGACGAATTGTGTTTTTTTTCCTGCGGCACTGCTGCACTGCACTATGTAAAATTGTCCACGCGTTCACAACGGCAAGTCTCAACGGTTACACAGGGTCTTAAAAAAACTTCTTCGGCGAATGACGACGAACCAGCAGAAAACGTGTCTGTAGCACGCTGCCGCTAGCCTCTGCAAAGCTAGTGAAACCGCAAATCGTCTACAATAAAGATGGCCGTCCAATGGCTTCAATCGCGCTGCAGTGAACAAGCGGGGAAGCGCGATCCAGCAGTTGTCATAGAGATCAGTGTTCCCAAAGATCCCGAAGCGCAATGGTCGCATGAGCAAATGAAAATATTTTTTTGTAGAGCATGAATTGGGCGGTACCTAGCGCCACCTAGCCCTAGCTGCTTGCAATTACTCTGCTTGACCCTGCCATCTGGTGGCAAGCGATTTAACATTCTTTCACGCTACGCGATAATATTTGGTTTCCGTGCAACAGCGGCTTCGAGTTCTTTTGAGAGTGGCTTTTTGGTTTCGTGGATTGATTTACCATTCCTCCGTGATGTGTGATTGACGAAGGAATTCTGACTCAAGGAATAACAAAGGTAAGACGTAAACTGCGCGAAGTAACGGGGTATCGGTTGTCTCCGTTTAACATCGGAGTGCTGACGACGAGAAGACTGAATAGCTGCTTTTGAAACGCAAGTTTCTTTGCGGGGGGAAGCTGGCTTCGGAAATAAACACAGTTCGCGGAAAGCTCGTGTTACGCTTTTATTTGCTGCTTCTCTCGTCCCGTACAAGAGACGTAACGTACTCGTTAAGCCTTATTGAGCTCGATTTGCTCGATTCGGGGCTGCCATAATGAGATGCAGGCGACGGAGGAACTTTGCTCCCCTGCTTCAGTGACGAAAGTTAACCTATGTTTCTCCCTTTGGGGAGAAACATATGTTACAGGACCGTTCCTCCCCTTAAGGGAGGATCGGACTATCAATACCCTTTTTTTCTAAGAGTGTAGTTTGATCACGTGCACTGATCATGTATTGTACACGAGAACTGCGTCAGCATTCATCGTGAACTCGGCTTCGCTTGTATCGAGTGCTGCTTCAGCGTTCGGTGATGACTCAAATTCCCCCCCCCCCCCCCCATTTTGAATGGCGACTGCCAGTGTTGCTTGACGGGGCTTGGTGGGGTGTATCGTAACCCGACCGAAAAATCCGATATAACTTTTCACTATCCGGATTATGGGACCGGAAATTTGTTTCTGCAAGCCCGAAATCCAGATTGCAGATAAGGGAATAATTTCTGAAAACCCAAAATACAGATAGAGTCCAGATGTAATCCAGATAGATTTTCGGTTCAATAATCCGGATAGCAAAAAGTTATACTGGATGTTTCGGTAGGAAAGTAACGCAGAAATTGTGACTTCGGTAGAGGGTTTGACGTGGTATGCTAAATGAAGCGAAATAACCCTAAATACTATCTTTTATAGCGGTCTGTTTTACGGGCAAGGACAAGAGCTGGCAAAATGACTTTTAATTTGTAACTTACTTTACTAATTACATTGCCTGGTTTGCCAAAAATATAATTGAATTATGTTACACATTAGCACAGCAGAAAAGTGAATGAATTATAATTAAAATTACTTAAAAATAATGACATTACGTTTTAATTACCTTTAATTTCCTTGCAGAATGAAAAGCTGCTTCCATGCTACAAATTATATGATCTACATTATAAATACTTTGTCTACCCAAATGAGACCAAGGCCCAAGCTTGGTGAAGCTGATCGTGAGGAAAGAGAAGCGAGCTATAGTGGTGATAAGTCTGGCAGTAAATTTTGGAGGTGATTATAAGTGATTATATTCTTCACTGTCTTTATTAGATTTAGACGGGTGGAATAGACATGCTTGCCTGCTGCGATTTCCCATCCCCGCAATACCCCTCTGAAGAAAAAAAAAAACATGAAAGACGAGCAGCTGCCTATGCAGTCGTGTTGTTATTAAAGAAATAAAAACTCGAATTTTTAATGTTTCAACTGACCAATTGTTTGGCATGTAATTTTTTTTTATCGTTTCATTGAACGAAAATAAGTAAACCGATTTTACAAAACACAGAAAACAAATGACCTGCAACGTCTAATCTCACACTTTGCTAATCTTTTTCTTGAACTGTACATTCTGTATCTGAAGAGAATACTATGTTTGTCTTATTCAGGAGATTAAACTCGCTATAGAAGCGTCATAGCTGTTAGCGAAATGAAGGTTACCCCTGTGAATTCCTGTTTCCCCTGAAGGCGTTTTTCTACCAATATAATTTTATGTTTTGGTGCTCTTCTAACTATTGCACCCATCTAACGACATATGCGCTTTCTATTCAAGGCATGTCCATGAGTCAGATACTGTCTTTTTCTTTATTACATGAACACTTTGGGCACATCTCACCTCACTCTCAACAACAACAACGGAGGGAGGAGGGAAAAGGAGAGAGATTCTCTCTCTTTTCCTCCTCCTCGTTTTATTAATATATATATATATATATATATATATATATATATATATATATAATATATATATATATATATATATATATATATATATAAACAATTTTAAACGTCTTAATTTTGAAGACTTCTGCCAGCATCAAGCTACTGACCTGCCAGGCAAGTGCGCACTTGGCGATGACTTCAAGGGAAAGGCCTTGCGAAACCCTGAACATCTCCACTGCCTCTCCTTTCTCAGCGCGGTCTTCCACCACCTCTACCATGGCGTCAGCACAGGAGCCCATGATCTGCGTCATCAGCTTCATCTTGGAAGCACTGAAGCTGGGATTGAGCACCGTGCGCACCTTTTTCCACTCTTCACCTGCACCACAGGATCAGCACTTGGTGGTCATTGTTGAACAACCTGCTGCTTCGTCATGGCCGCCTTTGTTCTTAAATGCCAAAAAAACACAGTTTGTCATAAATGCATGCACACACATACGTCACGCGATATTTCACACTTTCGCCCAATCAACATACAGCTACCACCTAACTTATGGTTTAATTAATACGTTGCTGTATGCTGCACAAGACGCATTATGAATCGTGTAGGCGCATCATAAGCAGCTCTAATTCTGTACAAGATGTAAGTTGTATTGTAGCGAACGTAATAGTCACAAATGACCGAGGAAAGTCAACGAATATTTTGTTATGCGATCTCTATCAGACATAATTTCCGACAACATGCATTTGAAATGGCTGCACACCAAAGCTCTTAATTTGGGTTCCCCTTGAACCATAATAGACCGATCTAACTAATGGCCCTGTCACACTGAGGCAACAGTTGGGCATATCTCTATGCGGCAACACGATGAAAACGTGTTTCTGGCGACCCTGTCACATCGCGGCAACAGTCGGGCAACATGGCGCTGCCGCCCAGCAAACATGTTGGCTGGTTTGTTGTCCGACCACCATGTCACACCGCGCTGACGGCGGGGCCAACACGGGGAACACTCCGCCATCTTGATTGTTTACCTTCGTTCGTGTGCGGTGCGGTGTTGCTCTAAATGGGACTCTACAAAGTGCTAGCGCGTTCGAAGGGCCAGCAATTACCACGGGACGGCATCAGCCAGTGAATGTGATTAGAAAACTTGAAACATGGAGTATTTCCACGCTTTATTTTATCAAAATGTTCTTCATTCGCTGACAAAGTAGACTGTGAGATCGGTAATACATGTTCGGGATTTCTGCCACCGTGTGAAGCTTTTTCTGTCTGGTTCTTTCATTAATACAATTCATATTTCTACTGTAAAATTGAGAAGCACCGGCAATACCCCAAAGTGTCTTTTGTAGCGTTGTGTTGAGCTGAACTGACAGTGCTTAGAAACTGCGACACCGACACGATCGGCCTTAATAACAATTGGGGGAATAAATATTTTTCAACGCTGTCTATTTGACTATCGCCTAGATGTGATTGCTTCATTCCTCAAAACGTTCTGGGGATTTTTGGATCAACTCATGTGTCTGGTAGCGGCTGTTTCCAAGTTCCAAGCATCAAGAATCATGATCAGAGTGGTCGTTTTAAAGCTTCGATTTTTTATCTTTGCTTTCCTGGATTGTTTTTATTATGATTTATTAATGGGTGAGTAGGCATGCCACTTTATTTCACTAGCAGTAATGTAAGCTGGTCTCTCGGCAGTTCTAATTTCAACACCAGCCTGAACGTTCCCGACCGTTGCTGTGATTATTTCGACAATCGCTTTCTGTATTACGCAGTAAAAGCATTCATCAAATTATTTTAGCTGCACGCCAGCCTTAATCATTGTTAAATAACGTTCTCCAAGATTTTATTTGAGTAAGACGTTATTGATAGGAAACTAGCTCTGCCATCCAAGCTATGTGTTGTCGTGCTGCCGGCCCGAAATTCGCTCAGCCAGCGATCAGGGCAGCACATTTTGTCCAACACAAGTTGCTGCTGTTTTTGTTTCCGAAAGCTGTCATACCGCGGCGACATTTCCGTTGTCGTCTATGTCGTGCTGCTGTTGCCACAATGCGATAGGGTTGTCGGACAACAGGGGGAGCGAGCAAAAAGTTGCCCGACTGTTGGACAACTGTTGGGCAGTCGGCGGCCATTCTGCGGCTCGTAAGTAACCATCTATTTTGTGCGGCAGGTGAGTGCGACGTTTTAGCCGAAACTTTTTTGTGCTGTACGGCCGTCGACAGCAACACTGTGTGTCTGCTTGCCTTTGCTTCGTTGTATTTTTATTAACACTTAGGCACGTTATGACGTCAAAGGATTGCCTAGCCTGCGCCAAGGTGCTGCCGGATGACAACAGTTTTTTATCCTGCTCGGAATGTTCCTTCTCTTAACATCTTGGCAACACGTGTTCTGGTGTCGCGGAAAATACGTTCATAAGCATGGGACCTAAAAAGCGCGAGAACCAGCGTTGGCGAACTTGTAGGGTAAAGGTTGGACGGGCGGCTTCGGTGTCGGACATTGATCCCTCCCAGCCTGACTTGGCGAACGTCTTTGCCCTGTTTACCAACATGAATAAGAAAATCGATCAACTCCTGTTTTTGAAAGAAACAGTGGACTCTCTTCATCTTCTAACTGGCAGTCTACAATCGATGACTTGAAGGTTGTTGTTTATGAACGGAAGGAGTTGCTGGAATTCAACTCGGTCCAGTATGATACGCTACTTAAGAAAAGAACCACAAACGAGTCTGAGGTCAAAGAGCTCGGGACGGAGGTGTCTCAATTCAGAATTACCGTCTCGGAGAATGCTGGCCGCAATGTGCAATTACAGGCGGCGCTGAACGAGACCGTACAGTACAGTCGCCTTGCAAACCTCAAAATCTATGGAATGTCGACAACTCCCAACGAGACCCTGATAAATAACGATACTGACCTCGCAAAAAAAAAAAAAAAAAAAAAAAAAAAAACGAATTGTCTTTTTTTTAACCCTACCAAATAGTCTATTTGTACAAATTACATGGCCAAAAATACAAAACACCCCCGGCCTTGATTATATTTGTATCATCAGAAGTCCGTGAAATTTGGTTGAACGCACGAGGAAAACTGCGCACTATAGTGCTTAACAAATCTGTACCGCAGCTGTATTTCAATGAAAATCTGAAGCAGTTCAACCGTAATCTTTTCTGAGAAGCTAGAATCCGTTACAAGGAAAAACACTTTAAATATGCTTGGGTTTGCATAGAAAAGATCTCCGCTAAGCGAACAGACGAGGCCACGTCTGTCCGTATCAGTTGTGGACAGGACCTTGAAATGATAAACTAAAGTGTTGACAGAACAGTTCCTTAAGTGCCCGACTTCTGCGTGTTAAAAAGCAACTCATCTTATAGTGGTATTGTTACAGATGTGCGTGTGAACACACGCGGCATAACAAAATGCTAGGATCAAGTTTTGCTTCTTGCTGCAAACCTTGGTGACTGCGTCGATGTTGTTGTCTAATGGGCAGTCACGCATTAGTGAGTTAAGATTTGTCAACATTCTTTTCGTTTAACAATCTTGTCTCTTCGTATGATGCGGAGTCTTTCCTACGTGAGAAACACCGATCTGAGCTATACCCTAAAGTAGTTTCGCTTATTAGAACATTTAAGAAATCGAGTATACTAACTGTTAAATTAGAAAAGCATAGATCGGAACAGGCGTGGCTTAACGACAACATTCTTGAGGCTATCAGAAATAAATAACTTCTATGGAAGCGTAGCCGACGTGCGGCCGGAAATAAGGAGTTGAGAGCTGAATCCGAGACCTCTCGTAATCGTGTAAATGCGCTAATACGTTCTGCTAAGCATAATCATTACACACGAAAAATTTACAACGCTCGCTTCATCTCTTACATAATTAATGAGCTTCGCGGCGTTGCTCGAAAGAGTGTCTCTGACCTGTTGGGAAAGAGCTTCGACTCCAATTTAGCCACCATAGCAAATTCTTTCGTTCACCATTTCGCCACTTCCATTCGTAATAGCTCAGGAAACAATGTTACCAATGCTTATGACATGAATATAACTTGTCGTCTGCTTTTTTTCTGACACTTTTACGGGCTGAGTTGCGTTCTATTTTATTTTCTTAAAAAAGATCGCCAGGAATCGATGGTGTATCCACCATAGACTTATGAGATAATTTTGATGCGCTTGCAGATGTTCTAGTGGCCATGTTAAACGGATTCAAACGTTTGGATTGTTTACCGGAAGATCTAAAAACTACAATCGTATTACCTATCCACAAAGGTGAGGTGGCCCTCGAAATCTGCTCTCTCATATCGCCCCATTTCGATTCTGCCTTGCATATCGAAAACTCGAGAAAAGCACCTTTTGACTTCCATGATTAGTTTTCTTGACACTCATTGCATATTGTAATCTTCAAAGTACGGCTTTGTCTCAGGGTGTGGTACGTCATCCTTAATAGACGTGTCCTCGGACTTCCTTCATTCGACCTTCGATAACCACTGTTTTGTCTGCGCTCTCCTTCTCGATGCCACGAAAGCGTTTGATTCTGTTTATCATAATATATTACTTAAGATACTATACCGTGTAGGATTCAAAGGTCCTTTCTTCACTTTGCTATATGATTTTATACAATCTCGTTCACAGTTGGTGTCCTTGGGAAGTGTACGAGATAGCAATGTGCCTCTCCTCTCCGGAGTGCCGCGGAGTTCTATTCTGTCGCCTTTTTTTTAAAAAAATATTTATGTAAACTATCTCCCGATTGTTGTCGCACACACTACAATATACAGATGACACTTTGTTATTTACCATTCACACCGATATTGAACCCGCCATGCATATGCTACAAGCTGATGCTCTCGCAGTCATGGATCGGTTGAAAGATAATAGAATATAAGTGTGCATTTTAAAACTAAACTCGTTTGTTTTCGCAGCCCTTGGAAAAAGTTCAATGCGTTCCCGCAGTTATGAAATACGCCAGGCGCGTAGCCCGGATTTTCTTTCGGGGGGGGGGGGGGGGGGGGGGGGGGGGGCGCCCATGACAAAATGTTGTATGAGGAGTGAGGAGGAAAGGGACAGGAGTCCCCAGCAAAATGGAAGATTTCGGGGGGGGGGGGGGGGGCTCTACCCCCCTGGCTGCGTGCCTGAAATACGCACATGTTTTTTATTGCGAAGTGTCTCTGTAATGTGTCTTGTCAGCTTTACAATTTAAAAACACATCTTCCGTATGCACCCAGGAAGTTGTTAATGCATTATTTCACCTAGAGTGTGCTCAGATACGGCATTACTTTATTTTTTAATTGTTCCTTGCAATGAAACGCTAGAATCGATAGTGTCTCGAGGGGGATGTTATAGTGTGTCCTAAAATTTATCCATGTGCTCTAGTGACAACCTCTTTGCCTGGCTTCAGCTGCCTTGTTTTTATTCACTAGGTGAAACGCAAGGTGAAACGGAGGATAGTCGCGAGAGCTACCAAGACTGCCGCCATATTAACTTCTGATTTAAGACAACCCTGAGACACGGGAAACAAGAAGGACAAACACAACGAAGTCTCAAAGAACAGCTGGGAGTTATTTTTTCTGACTCGTTCCTTTTATAGAACGACCCCCACCATCACCAGAGCTTCTTGCCGTCAAGCCAGTGAAACACGTCAAATGGGCAAGGCCCAACGATTCCGATTCAAAGTGATGGTGGGGGTCGTTCTATAAAAGGGACGAGTCAGAAAAATAAATTCGCAGATGTGTTTTGAGACTTTGTCGTGTTTGTCCTTCTTGTTTCCCCAGTCTCAGGGTTGTCTTAAATCATGAACGTAAACCAGCTCGCCTCTGCCTTATCACTCATTTCAGTACATCAACTTGGTCACGATTTGTTCGGACTTCGTCGTGAAACAATTTTGTTTAGGACTGAAAAGAAAAGGTTTACTGCTTACAGAAATGATCAGCAGGCTTACTTGGTAGTGCAGTAGGCCCCCACCTACTACAGAAAACTTTAAACGGAAAAGAAGTCACATAGAAAGCACAAGCGAACCAAAGTGAGGAATACAGACGTGAACGCGAGCACGAGAGGTAAAGCCACGTTGCACTTAAAATGATGTCCATTGGCGCAGTTTTATTGACTTCATCGATACGTAGCGTTGGCTGCGATTGGATCTAATGTTATTAAGACGGAGTATAGTGCCTGTTACAGTCACTCATCTCTACTATACGGGGCTGGCGCAGGTGAAGTTCCCGGAAGTTCGATGCTTGTGCTAGAAGTCGGGCGCGTCTGCTGGGCTCCCCGGCGCATTAGCTTGTTTCGTGCTTTCTTTCTTTATTTTATTTATTTATTTATTTATTTATTTCGGGTTACCCCGCAGCGCCCGAAGGCATTATTGCAGGGGGGGGGGGGGGGAGGAGGTACATAGTTGTGAGGGTAGAAATACACACGTGCATATGTACCAAAAAACAAGAAATAACGCAAGCTCACAGGAAAACACTCAATCAAAAGCAAGCCCAGAATATGATGAAAGAAACATCGGTGACTGGCATTCCATGTACGTGCCAGATAAAAGAATCAGCTGAGGAAAATATGTGCTAACAGCAAAATTAAACAACTCACTTGCCGCATGACACAAAAAAGAATTGGGATTTAGATCAGAGCGGGGTTTTAATAACCCCGCTCTGATCTAAATCCCAATTCTGAGGCCTTTGAACGAGGGACATATGCACTCTTGATCAACTAGAATCTCAAAGTTTTCACATCCAATGGCTTGCAAGGAGACCTCTCGGGTCTGCATGTGACGGCGCAATAAGCCGGCTCTCTAGAGAGATGACAAAAAGAAAAAGGGGAAAAACATCCCATTCCCTGGACGCTGTTCAAACCAGCACCCGGAAGAGTTGAAAAGCATGTCAAGCGCTCACTTCCGGGGACAAGCCGCTTACATCCGGTGGCTTCATACCTGTTTGCTCAATGCGCCATGCAGCGCTCTAGTGGAGATCGGGAGCATCCCGCAAAGGCCGATAGTCGCATTACGGCCGAGAGTGCATTGGGGCCGAGAGGGGTGGAAGGGCCGGAAGTGGCTCTGAGGCCGACTAGGGCGTAAGGGCAAAGAATTGCATTAAGGCCGATAGTCTTGGAATGGACAGGTGCAGCCTCCTTTTGGGGGGTCGCGTTGTGGGTGACGACTTTAGTTGCCACCAAATAAGATAGATGGCGCCACACTGAGCAAGACGGATGACGTCACTCTCAGTGTCAGAACCCAGACTTCATTTTTAAGCTTAACATATTTTCAATCTTTTCATTCGCCGAAGTCTCTTCGCAGATCGCAATGATTGGCGCTCCGAGTATTCTACGGGCAAATAGACGCGTATGGGCATTTTTAAGAGTGTATCTGTCGGTGACTGCAAATACTACGGTTTTGGGTTTGTTTTCACCCTTTACGGCCGGCACCAGTCGGTACGCCGGCCTTGCCTAGCCGAATTGTTAATTTTTTTCTATTTACCTTTGTGCGCTTTATCATTTCTTATTTGTTTGATCAGTAGTTTTGTCATCTGCATATTTAAATTATGCACACGCGCGCACGCGCACGCGCGCACGCGCACACACACACACACACACACACACACACACACACACACGCGCACGCGCACGCGCACGCGCACGCGCACGCGCACGCGCACGCGCACGCACACGCACACGCACACGCACACGCACACGCACACGCACACGCACACGCGCACACACACACACACACACACACACACACACACACACACGCGCGCGCGCGCACACGTAATTTTAAATATATGCTATGAATTTAGGGCGCTGTTTTGGTATAATATTCCTATATTCTAATGATCGGCTTATTAAGAGCTCAGTGAAAATTTATTGCGTTTTTTCAATTTCCAGCACTTCATGTCTCTGACTCTTCCGGGCGGCTACGAGAACGATGAGTGAGGTTGATTTTAGAAATTGTATTGTCAATCCTTTTACAGCGAAACGGCTTCGATGAAACGGCGTTCGTTGAAATGTCCAATCCGGCTTCGAATGCTAACAAATCTGGTCAAGAATCAGCGTACCCAAACACCAGTTTCGGCATGAATCTTTTTTTTTTCTTTTTTGATGAAGGTATTGGGCATTTGAATGCTTGCCTTGTCGTGCATTCTGAGTGCATTCTTGCCGAGCGTGCTTCGTTCCGTCTCTCTAATTGGCTCACGGGGGCACAGCCTTCGCCCCTTGCCAAATAATGTTGACACGGAGTGTAGCAAAAAAGAAAAGCTAGTCGAAACGGTCAAAGTACTGCATGTTTAATTAACCGTAAAGGATGAAGCAATAACACCAAAAACGCAGTATTTGCCGTCGCCGAGAGATACAATGTGCACTAATAAACAAAACAAATATGTGGCGTCATCTATCCAATATGGTGACAACTACGGTCGTCAACCATAACGCAAATCCCGAGGAGGCGGCCACACCAGCCCATTCGGAGGCTTTCGGCCATAATGCAGTCCTGGGCCGTTATGCACTATTCGGCATCAAAGCCACTCCCGGCCCTTTCACCCCTCTCGGCCGTAATGCGACTATCGGCCGATATGACAGTGACCCGTGGAGATCAGTGGTTACTGCACAGTTATAGAAAAACGCACGAAGAACTCACCCTGGAGCATAATAATGCAGCTCGCGAAGGGTTCAACGCTTATGAGGAACCGAGGTCTGTCGTGGAAGGTGTAGGCTTCCTTGACGAAGCACTGCTTGATCATTTCAGCGTCACTGACAACCATGTAGGGAACCTCGCCTATGTAGTAGCCGAACACCTTGCCGTACTCCTTGATCCAGCGCTCCATCACCTGTGCAGATGGTATATGTTCGATTATCAAAATATCTCAGGAAAAAATATCATTACTATAGTCACGGACAAAGAGAGAACGCATGTCGTGACTAGTCCCCAACGGCTTGCAATCGCTCTGCAGCCTATCAGATTGCAGCATTGACCGATAAGAACGTCAAAGCTCCAATGACGATGCAAGAAGCTCGAAGATATTACCGCGCGCGCAGGTTGCCAAGTAGGCTGCGCGCGCGTGGCCTAACGGTCATCGCGCTTGCCTTCCACGCAGAAGGCCAGGGTTCGATTCCTGGCCGCGGGTACACATTTTTGTTGACACTGTAATGTGATGTTCTGGTGAATTCGAGAACCGTCTTGCTGATTCGAGGTTAGAATGTTCTACGCGCCAAGCCTTCTACGCCGAACGATCCAGAAACCCACGAGGGTACATGGGATTCCGCAAGGCGAGGTCTCGCCCCAGCGTTCGACTCTGCTGTTACGCCGATTTCGACGCCCGCGACGCTCTGTTATTATCTTTTGTACCCCATTCATTTTTGGCACAAGTTCGCCATATTAAACGTTTACTTCTTCCTCTTTATTTATTGTTCTTTTGGTCACCACCCGTGACATTTTTGGTGGAGGTGCTGGGTACCGCATGCCCGTGCAACGTTCCCCTCCAAGGGCCCGCAGTGCAAGTCCGATTCCCGGCTCGGTGAGACGACCACTCAACGCGGAACCTGAAGCTCGGACCAGCCGCCGCACCAAGGGAGATAATCCTGAGTACGGTTTGCTGCTGGACAAGCCCAAGCCGAATAAGACGACGATGGCCAACCAGTCGCAAGCCCCCGCCGCTTCTCCCGTCATCTACATGCCCGTCGCACCGCGGACGGCTGCCCCCTTCCACGGTGAACTCTACGAAGACATCAAAGACTGGATTGACCAGTTTGAACGCGTTGCCCGCCACAATGGCTGGACCGAGGAGCAGCGCCTGCACAACGTCTACTTTTCGCTTGAGGGGACCGCCAAGCAATGGTACGAGAACCATGAGTCCTCTTTGACGTCGTGGGACATTTTCAAGACCGATCTGAAGACTACATTCATCAACCACCACAGCCGAGAGAGAGCCGAGGACCTACTGCGAACCAGGACCCAGGGCCCCAACGAGAGCATCACCAGCTTCGTCGAGGATGTTCTTCGCCTGAGCGCCCGCGCCGATCCTCAGGCTACAGAGGAGAAGAAGCTGCGACACCTGATGAAAGGTGTGAAAAGCGAGATATTCGGAGGTCTCATTCGCAATCCTCCGACAACTGTCGACGGGTTCGTCACGGAGGCGACGAATATGGAGCGTGCCCTACTAGCACGCGCCAGACACTGCGAGCGACACCTGGCGTGACTACTCTGGCGACATCCGGATACGAGCTTGGTACCGACCTCCCAGGCATCCGTGACATCATCCGTGAAGTCGTCCGGGAAGAAATCCGCAAGATGCTCCCCGCTACGGATCGCCCGTCCTCCCTGTCGCTCGCCGAGGTCGTGCGAGAGAAAGTTCACCGGGCCTTCCAACCTGAGGTTCCGATCAACACGACGACGCCAGAGGAGCCGACTTTGAGCTACGCCGCCATGGCCCGACGACCGCCGCAAGCTAACCGCCAGGTCACGGTGCCATCCCGACGAGACCCTCCGATGCCACAGTATCCTCGACGCCAGGAAGGACAAGTCCAGGACGTCCGCCCGGAGCAACCCTCGTCAAGGATGACCGACGTGCGGCGAACGGCCGACCGACGTCCGCTCTGCTACCACTGCGGGGAAGCCGACCATGTGTACCACCGATGCCCATACCGACGACTCGGGCTGCGCGGATTCCACCCAAACGACCCGCGCCCCCGGTATGGTGAACGCCTTCGGGAGATCGACGAGTACCTGCGACGACCCCAGTCCCCCGAGCCTGCGTCTCGCCGAGAGTTCCGGTCGCCGTCGCCGCGACGTCCAGCTTCGCCGATGCACCGGCCCCGACGTGAAAGCCTGCCGCCCCTCGCTCCTCGCCAGAGAAACTAGGCGCGGCTACCCCTGGAGGTGGAGTTGCCGAAGACGACCGACGTAAAGAGCCTCCAAGAACGACGGAGCGCTCCCACTCTCCCGACGCCACGCATCACAACGACGCTCCTGCATCGGTGTCCAACAACCTGAACGTTATGATCGACGGCCTCGACGCATCGGCACTCGCGGACACCGGAGCAGACTACTTAGACTTGAGTGGGAGGCTCTCCCGCCGCCTTCGAAAACTCATGACGCCGTGGGATGGACCACAAATAAGAACCGCCGGAGGACACCTCATTGCACCAGTTGGGAGATGAACTGCTCGCGTCGAGATCCATGGTGAGATGTGCCCTGTCAAGTTCGTCGTTCTGCAACACTGTTCGAGGGACGTTATCCTCGGAATGGACTTTCTCTGCGAGTATGGCGCCGTCATCGACCTCGCGCCAAACCAGTTGACGCTGCGAAAGCCTGTCCTGCCGCCGGTGGAGACCAACACGACGTCAACCGCTATCCAAATTATCGCCGACCATGTGACCCTACCACCGCGGTCGAGTGTTTTCGTCACCGTTATAACCGACGCAGCCATGCACGGTGAAGCTCTTCTGGAAGGTAGCGTCCAACTGCTTTTCGAAAAATGAATTGGTGTCGCAAGAGGCGTAACGGATCTCCAAGAAGGACGTACGTACAACTGTTCTTGTGACCAACTTTCGAGAGGAGACGCAGCACCTAACGAAGGGTACCACCGTGGGCCACGTCGGGGAGCTTCAGGCGCCAGCCGTGGTCACCGCAATCTCCGAGGAAACCTCGTCGGCACAGCAGAAGAGCACGACGCCGTTTCCGCTCGACATCGATCCCGAGCTCCCAGCTCCGAAGCGCCGGCAACTGGTTGATCTCCTCGCCGAATACAGTGACTGCTTTGCCACGACATCGAAAGTTCGCCAAACACCAATGGCGAAACATCGCATTACTACCGGCGACGACGCACTCCCTGTCCACCAGTCGTCGTATCGAGTCTCCTTAAAGGAAAGGAAAGTGATCCAAGATCAAATCCAGGAGATGCTCGACGACGACATCATTCAACCCTCAAGAAGTCCATGGGCGTCCCCAGTCGTCCTTGTAAAGAAAAAGGACGGAACCCCACGGTTCTGCGTGAACTATCGTCGATTGAACACTGTGACGAAGAAGGACGTTTATCCGCTCCCCCTCATCGACGATACGTTAGACCGACTGCGTCAGTCCCGATATTTTTCGTCGATGGACCTGAAGAGTGGTTACTGGCAGATTAAAGTCGACGAACGTGACCGGGAGAAAACTGCCTTCGTCACTCCCGACGGTCTGTACGAATTCAAAGTAATGCCGTTCGGACTTAGTACAGCACCAGCCACCTTCCAGCGCGTCATGGACACCGTGCCGCAGGTCTGAAATGGCAGAGCTGCCTCGTCTACCTGGACGATGTCCTGGTATTCGCACGAGATTTCGACGAACACCGCAGACGACTTCGAGCCGTGCTTCAAGCCATCAAGACCGCCGGCCTGTCACTAAAGCCAACAAAGTGTCGGTTCGCCTATGGGGAGCTAAAGTTCCTCGGCCACGTCGTGAGCAACAAAGGTGTTCTACCTGACCCCGAGAAGACCCGCGCCGTAGCTGCATTTGCGCCGCCGTCTGGCAAGAAGGCAGTGAAAATATTTCTCGGACTCTGTGCCTACTACAGGCGCTTTGTTCGAGACTTCGCCAAACTATCCGCACCGCTGACACACCTCACGAAGGACGCCGTAAAGTTCGAGTGGACAGAAGAACAACAGAGGTCATTCGACGAGCTCAAACGAAGACTCCAGACCCCCCCGACTCTTGGCCATTTCGACCAGTTTGCTGAAACCGAGATCCACACCGACGCCAGGAACACCGGACTGGGTGCAGTACTCGTCCAAGTGCAGGACGGAGCAGAGCGAGTTAACCCATACGCCAGTCGGACGCTGTCTAACGCGGAGAGGAACTATTCAACTACTGAAAACGAGTGCCTGGCTGTCGTCTGGGCAATATTAAAGTTTCGCCCATATTTGTATGCAAGTCCTTTTCGCGTGGTCACAGACCACCACTCGCTCTGCTGCCTGGCGAATCTGAAGGACCTCTCCGGACGCCTCGCCCGGTGGAGCCTACGACTGCAGGAGTTCGACATGACCGTGGTGTACAAGTCCGGCCGGAAGCACAATGACGCCGACTGCCTGTCGAAGGCCCCAGTCGAGGCCGGTCCTTCCTGCACCAAAGAGGACGACGATGAGTGTTTCCTCGGTGCTCTGGATGTCAGCGACATGGCAGCACTCTAACGAGACGAGCCCGAGCTGCGAGCACTCATCGAGCACCTAGAGGGGCAAGGAAGCGCCGTTCCCCGCGGTTTTGTACGAACACTGCCAACCTTCTCCATCCGACAAGGTGTGCTCTACAAGGAGAACTTCAGCGACAACAGCACGGCATGGCTGTTGGTGGTCCCTTCCAGTCTTCAAGAAGAAATTTTTCAAGCCTGCCACGATGACCCGACGGCGGGACACCTTGGTTACAGCAGGACTCTTGCTAGTATACGCGAAAAGTACTACTGGCCCAAGCTTGCGAAGCCAGTGCACCACTACACCCGATCTTTCCACGAGTGTCAACGACGGAAGCCACCGACGAGACCGGCAGGACTTCTTCAGCCTATTGCGCCGCCATCTGCCCCATTCCAGCAAATCGGTATGGATTTACTCGGACCTTTCCCACCGTCGACGCAAGGAAACCGATTGATGATCGTCGCCACCTATTATCTCACGCGGTACGCCGAGACAAAAGCCCTTCCATCAGGAACGGCTGTTGAAGTCGCGAAGTTTTTCATCGAGTCCATCGTCCTCCGGCACGGCGCTTCCGAAGTCCTGATCTCAGACCGTAAATCATCATTCATGGCCCAGCTGACGCAAGAAGTCCTTCGTCTCAGCCACACCAGCCATTTTCGCACCACGG